CTCAAGAGAGCCTGCCACTCTGGGCACCACCACTGGGATGCCACCAGAGGCAACAGAATCAAGTCATGGTGAACAGAGTTGCCTAGTCCTGTCATGTGATCTAGAAGTTGACAGTGGGCTCTTGTATAGCTTCCAGGGAGATCCATAGACCCACAGAAATCTGTGCCTCAGGGATCCCACCTGCACAATGGAGATAAGAATCCTGCCCTGAAGATATTGCAGGGCTATGATGAGGCTCCAAATAGAATTTTTCAAAAGTACTTCGCCAAAGGTAAAGTTCAGTACAAATTTAAGGGAATTCAATTGATTGATGGTGATTGTGAGAGTGCCCCGGGGATAAAAGCGGACTGGCTCATGGGCCCAGGGACTAAGAAAGCGGTCAAACTCCTATGCTGTGCCTTAGTTGGGCACCAATCAGTGGCAGGTAATACCTGCTGCAAAGGATGATTTCCTTAGTTTCTTGCCCCAGGAAGTCTCCAAGGCCTAGCACCTGGATCAGGGCTGGGATAGTCACTGAGGAAGTTACTGAAAAAGTCACAAAAGTCAAGAAGGAGAAAGAAGGTGGCATATAAAGCAGAGGGTCATTACTATTATCACACACAAAAATAGATACCCACTGGATGTAGGGGCATTGAATTGGGAGTGCAGATGGAGGCAGGGGCGGGGGAAAGTGAGGTGTCACAGCAGCAGAGCAAGGGACACTGTCCCAAACACATTCACTTAGCTGGCTCTCCTCCTCCTAAAAGGTTAATGCCAGTATCTCTGTGCTCAGGGAGGAAAGGGAGGGAGATAGAACTAAGACTATCATACTATGATTTAAGGATGAGAGTCCCCTTTCCCATTACACTGTTTCCCAGCATCTTAAGGTATCAGGAACAGGCAAGCAACTGGTCTGTGCACTTCAAAGCTAAAGACAGAGCTGGGCCTGGAGTACCACATAGGCAATAATGGGTTTCTGGAAAAAGGCAGTGCTTGTCAACACTGTTGGGAGAGAGCTAATCTGCTGGTACATGGTCAGAGTTTTAGGGAACTGATCACTGAGAGCTTACGATTAAGACTGAGCATTATGACTGCCCTTTGAAGAATACAGAAGTGGGAAGTGTGCCTTGTTATTTGAAATGGACTTCTGAGGCTGAGGGAATGGACAAGGTGGCAGAAGAGAGCCAACTAAAACAAACTCTTGGCAAGCTTGTACTTGGGGGTGTGTGATTGAAAGACACTCTCTAGCTGCCCCTGCTGCTGCTGCTGCTGTCCCCCAACTCTCTTGGCAAAGGACTTGGACCTCCCTGGGGAACTGGGGAGGCTCTCTCAGAGGGCATCATCTGGCACCTACAAGTTAAGGCAAACAAGCCAATAGAGCACATTGAAGAAGAAAAAGGTCACAGGGAAAACAACCCGTGAGTAGTTGTCCAGGCGGTAGATGTGGAAGCGGAGGCGACCTCGCTGCCAGGTACTGCCCTCACAATCAGGGATCATGCAGAAGTACTTCCTGAAACCCTTGCAGCACTTGTTGCAAGCCAGCTTGGAGCAGAAGCTGCGGGGACCCTGCGGGATATCTGGGCTGGGGGATCGTCGGATCGAGCAAGATGGGCGCTCCTCTCCATCACTTGCCTCAGAGGTGACAATCTCGCACACAAAAACTTCCTGATGCTGGCGGGCACGGGCACGAGCACGGGCACGGGCACGGGCACGGGTACGAGCTTGGGTATTGCTAGCAAAACGAGGCTGAAAGGGACAAGGAAAAAAATGGGGGGAAAATCAAGTGAGATAAGCCAAATCTAAGTGCTGCCTTGGGATTTTCTGGGAACTGCCCTTTGCACTGTTTCTTGACCACCCCCAGAACTCCCATCAGGAAATTGATTCAACTCCCCATATCACCCTGGGTAACCCCCCATCATTGGGCAAGCTGGCACCCATGTGCCATAGCCCTTGTGCCCTTGCTGGTATGACTCCACACTCCCAAAGTCTTGCCACCACTCCCATACCCAGGTCATACATAGCGGAGCTTAGGAGAAGCATGGGCTTTCATCTGGTTGTAGGTCAGGAAGTTGAGTACAGCAAACTCCAACAGAGCACAGAAGCAGAAGACAAAGCAGATGGCGATATAGAAATCCAAAGCTGTGATATAGGAAACACGTGGAAAATTCTTACGAGAAAAGGTGCCCAATGTGGTCATGGTGAGTACAGAGGTGATCCCTGCAAGAGCACAGGAGTAGAAGGAGGCTCAGCTCCTGATCCATATATTACACTGCTCAAAGGATCCAATTGCCTTAGTCAGGCTAACTCACAGTCATATGCCCATGCTTACGCCTACCTTACCCTCTTACCTAAAGAAGTTCGGGCTGGAGCAGACTCCTTCTTGATCCAAAAGGAAACCCAGGAGAGCATCGTGGTCACAGAAGAAGGGACATAGTTTTGAAAGGCAACATAGCCAAACCGCCTGCTCACATTGAAGAAAAATGTCATGACCATGAAGTCACCTGGAAAACAGGCAAACAACCAATTCATTAAAACACTGATAAGAAGGCTCCTTCCCCCCAAAACAGAACATCCACATTAAAGGTCCCATTGTTGATCTTATGGGGTTCACTACCACAGTCCTAGCACAGAGGCACCTTGTCCAATGCGATGCACATAGGACCAGAACAAGCCCAGAGAGAAGACTTATTGCAAGACCTATGGTCAGTTCAGAACTAAGCCAAGGCCAGAATTGTAATCACTTCTTTATCAGCTCACTGTCTCACACACATGTGTCTTTCCAGGGTGGCACCAAAGTCAAATGAAAGTGAAAAATTGGTTAGTCCTCTAAATATCAGCTGTTGTCCAGATGGTTGAGGCCTTCACAGCCAATTGGATGCCATGTATATTTTACAGAATCACAGTGTACCACATGTGCAGCTGGCCCTTACAATGTATCTTCAAGAAATGAGCTAGGAGTGGTCCATGCTGTGCTGGAGGACATACCGATCTTTTGGCCTCCTCATTACATATTTACTGTTCCATCCATGGCCAAAAGCAAGCACTTACCTGCCTCCCAAATTTTTCCAAATTCCACATGAGCTATAATCTATATTGTGTAATTTGACCCCAAAGGTCAATTGTGATGTATGCTTTACCTAAACTAATCCCATCTACTCTTAGATTTCTTGAGATAGCCTGAATATTTATTTCAATATTCAAATTTTACCCTCCCTTTCCATAGTCTATTACCCCTTACCCAAATTCAGTATTTGTGGAAAATGGAAGAATTAGCCAAAGCTAAAAATTTCAGGCCTGCTGACTATATATCTACAAGGCTGACTATGGTCTTCACATTCATTTTGGCATTGTGTCTTTGATCCTGATTCTCACCCCAGATGGCAATGACCTGGGCAGGACCTGATGACATACTAAATCTCTAGTGGCACATCCAGCACTACTCTCTGCATGCTATCATGACTCTATGGCTTATTTGGGATTTGGGCTGAGCTCAGAATGTCAACTTTCAATCTCAACATCACATTGAACTTGTAATAGCTCCAATCCTGGCTCTTTAGTGAGGCTTAGTTCTGAAATCCCCAGCCCTCCCTTCAAGCCAGCAGAAGATCAGAAACTGGTATAGCTGCTAGTCAACAGCTTCGTAAAGCAGACCAGGACACTAACCTGTCTGTATATCTTCCTATTTTGGGGAAATAGCCCAGCAGATCTGGGTGGGCTGGAGCTGAATTTGAAAGAGCAGATTTTCTTACTCACCTTGACAGCACTGACACTCAAGGAGCAAGACTTCTCAAATCATTCTGAAAAAAGGCAAGGAAGTAGCCTGGGGTCAGAGAGAAACCTGTGTCTAGAGTAGTAGTTTGGGGGACAGAACTCCAGCAGGGCTGCAGCAGGGCCTACATTCATAATTGCCTACTGGCCGGAATGTATTGATCAAATTCCAAGTTCTCTTGCCCTGAGGTCATGACTGCAATTTAAGACACTTTTAAATAGCTATAACCACTTTCCGCAAAACTGCTGAGTTTGTATATTCTTGTAGCAAGATGTATTATTCATTCAGATATATTTTAATTTTATTTATTCTGACCAAAGAAGAGCATTCTCTACTTGTCAAGAGATGGAAACCAATCTTTGAATGTTTACAGAATACTGACACAAACTTTTTTCTTCCTGAGGAGTGGAGAAGCATGGGAAAGGGAAGAAAGATATCTAGGTCTGAGGAACCAAAGCAAAAATTATGCTAAAGATGAAAGATGCTTTCTGCTCATCCATTATCTGCTTTGGTAAGCTCAAAGTTGTCCAGTGCACTGTCAAAGAGTCAAAATTAAAGACTGTGACCAGAGGACTGGGACTAGAAGAATGAGTGAATCTAAACATTCAAAGGACAAATGAAGGAAAAGGACCTAGGGCTGTGTACACTACAATGGAACATGATCCAGGGTTGTTATGATAATACTGGTCTTTTAATCTTGACTCTGTGGAAGAATGACTAGAATTAATGTAAGCTGAATAGTTCTAGAGATAAAGAACTTGGTCCAGTTGTTGAAAGTTCCAGAGATTTCATTTTCATATAAATAGAGAACATTTTCTGATAGGCAGAGCTGTGTAGAGAAGGAAGATACCCCCTTATAAGTAAATTCCTGATCATTGATAAGAGTCTTAATCAGTGTAGGCTGGTATATTCACTGAGGGTGAGTTTAGACTTCCTAAGAACCTCCGAAAACAGAAATTGTTTGGTTCAGTGTCCAAGGTGGTCAGATAAGCAGGCTACCACTGCATTCTGAACTCTTGGGGATGAATACATAAGTCTGCTCCAGTCAGAACTACCCCAGGGGCTGACTAGAAGAGTTTGAAACCAGTCCCAGAGGTAGCTCTGACACTGGAGAAACCATGATTCAAGACGAGCTAGTCTCCTGCAGAAGAGAAAGAAGATCTCTTTTCTCCTCAAGAATCCTCCTGTCTCCCAAGGAGTTCTGGTGCTTACCTACTGTCATTGCTTCCGTGATGATGCTGGCTCTGGGGCTTTGTAGTCACTAGGGCACCATTTTGAAGAAATGTAAACCATCTACTAAACGGAACCACTAGTGACTTGAAAGCCCCTAGGCCTTGTCTCGTCTGCCACTTTTGAGGATGGGTCCCCACCTATTTGGGGAAACTGAAGTGCAGAAAGCTAAGAGGCAGATCCATGGTTAGCCAGCAAAAGAGCAAGGACCCTACACCCCCAGTAGCAAAACCACTTCCCTAGAGGCCCCAAGAAAGAGGAAAGCATGTGTAAAGCAGCTCTTCACCCCTGCCTTGTACTGTGCAAGCAAAGCTCTAGCCAGGTGAGCATGAGCTGTCCCTCACCCAGTGACCAGCTCAAATAAGTAAAGCAAAAGCAGATTTTCTGCAGAGCCACTTGGAAAGAAAGCAAGATGCCTCTCATGACAAATGATTGGTTGGGTGACTGCTTCCATCCACATTCTGGAAACGATGAGGGCAGTGGTCAGTATGGGTGAAGAGGATTTCCAGGGCTGCTCTCTGGGAGCTACCCTAGGAAGGTTCCTTGGCTTCTCATTCAGATCACCTAGGAATACAAGCAAAGATGCTCATACCTAATTGGGAGCAAGTTTAAGTGACTTAGGACCACCCTCCCCCTTTAATCTTTGTTAGGAACAAAGTCAGAAAACCAATGGTCACTATGTATATGTTGAATCCATCATAAAGCTTTTGACAGGAATCTATGATTTTCAGGGTTATTCCTTTAAAATAAATGTCAACACAGCAGCCACTCTGTAGCTACTGGAACTTCCTGCAGACTATCCCAGTCTTCACCTAGCTGACAGAATTCTGGCCTCCACCTCCCATTAGGATGGAATTTGCTTCGCATTCAACCAGCTTGGGTTGGCTCTGAGTATGGAGAGCTTGCTTGAGCTCAATTCCCAAAAGTTATCCAAGGAGGTCAGTGTTCTAACAGACTTCGAAATTGAAGGGTCTACATTATCAAAGCTAGCTGCAGATTATGACCGTAACAAAAACAATTTTTACTTACCTGTCCTCTCAGGAAGCTTGGCAAAGCACTTACTTCTTTGCAGATGAGACTGAGACATAGTTACAAAGTCTCAGTTTCCTCTGCAAACAGTTGTAAGTGCTTAGCATTTGTAAGCCTGGAACCATGTCCTCTGATATTTCCATGGAATGAATGCATAACATTAGTAAGGATGGCCATTTCCAGTTATGCCTACCACCCTCCTGAGTATCAGGCTAGTCCTGGATCCCATGACAGACTTACCAGCAGGGGTTGAGATAATTTCAGTTTTGTTGCTCACTCCTGTAAAATCAAACTGAAAGAGCTTCCAAGAGTTTTTTTCATTGATTTCAAGCTTGAAATCGTCCCACTTGTATATCATCTCATTCTCAGGATAGGAAACTGGAAAGCAATGTGGGAAGGATAATTACATGAGGTTGGCAAGCCCAGCAGAGGTCTCTACTAGCATGGAATTGGCCTGAACAATAATTTGGAGTCTTTACTCTGGCCTCACCAACTGTGGGACCTTGTGTCTCTTACCTCATCGTTGAAATTTATTTAGTAAGTGCATTTACTGACCATTCCTCAGTAACAGGCCCTGGGTTGGAAATACAGACAAGAGCTAGGCAGGAACCCTGCCCTCAAACATTCATATTTTATTAAGCAAGACAATTAATTGTACAGCCATGACTTTTGGAAATGCTCTGAAAATTTTTTTGTCCATGGAACAGAAAGGAAACAAAGCAGGGAAAGATCACTTGGGGAAACACTCAGAAAAAACTTCATAGAGCAGGTGACTTTCCCATTAAGTCCCGAAAGCCAAGCGCATATTTTTTATATGGATAAGGCTGAAGGGATGATGGGTAGCACAGAAAGGTGAAATGCATGGTGTACTGTGGAAATGCCAAAGTTTCAACATGACTAGCTCACACTCATAGACAATGAGGTATACAAGAGTGAATAGCAGAGATTGTTTCATAAGGGCTTTGAGAGTTGCTCTAGACTTTGGAACTGATTCATGAGAGTTAAGGAAGGATGTAAAACTAAGAGGCAACATAGTCTAGATGATGCTTCAGTTAGGTCACTCTGGGTCTTATGTGAAGATAACATGTTGGCAAGGAGACCAGTTATGAGAGTCCAGTGCAGTAATACAGGCACAATAAAATGACTGAAGTTCAGGAATCAAAGCTGTGACAGAACATAGAGAGGTGCATAGTGTTACTAGAGATTTTGTAAGGAACACCAACAAAATGTATATGTAGGTGTTGAAGGAGAGGGAAGCATCAAAGCTCTTGGCTTGGACAATTAGGTGAGTGATGGTATCCTTCAATGATGCAAATAAGAACACAGAGGCAACACATTTGTTTTGGGGGTAGAAGTTGGGAAGAAACAAATTAAGTTTTGGACATGTTTAGGTTCAAAGTGAAGATATTATACAAGTCCAAGTGGAAGATGACAGAGGCCTAAACCAAGGTAGTGACAGTGGAGATGGAGAGAAGCAGACATACTTGAGATACATGTAAGAGTTGGGTATCTGACTTGAAGCGAATGGAAGAAAGGGAGGAGCCCAACATGATGTCCAGGTGGAGCAACACAGAAATGAAATGTCAGCAGGAAAGGAGGTGGGCATGGAGGATTGAGGCCTAAGATCTTGGTACCATCTTGGGAGAAATATAGAGGTAGAAAAAATGTAAAGGGAAAGAATGAGAAAAAGGAGGGGCCCAGAATATCTCTCGGGCCCTGGAAACCTAAGAAGGTACTCACAGCTAGAGAAAGACAGAGGGCAAGAGTGAGAATCCATTGGAAATCTGAGCATGTGAAGAGAACATCCAGCATCAATGGTCATCCTATAAGGGAGAAAGGATCCTCATTAGGCTAGACTTAAACATTTAGGGATTCACCCAATTTTGGTTTGGGGACCACCATTAATGAATGGCAACAGTAGAATTTGCAACAAAAATCTCAGAGACAAAAAAGGAGGAAAGGACAGCTTCAATATAGCTGGCAACTCTGGGCTCCGTCATCAGAGAAGTGTATGGACCAACTTAGGTGGTTTTTTTGTTTTTCATCCAGAACAGCTTCCAGGACGTCTCAATACTACCCGAGTCTACTTCCTTCCCTATACACCATCAACTCACTACCATATCCTGACTGGTGTTGAAGTATTCAGCCTGCTCCTAAGAATGTTTCCAACCGCTGTGTTGCTGCTCCGCCTGGACAATTCCACCACCGTGGACGTGTCTTTAAATCCAGTGCCCACTTGGGATGGAATTGTCCATGCAATGCAGTTATACTGGTACCATCTAGTTGAAGGAGCTCTGGGCTGGGTCCTAAGGAAGTGAGTACCACTCCTAGTTTTGCCACAAACTTGATGTGTAGCTTTAAGCAGTTTCTTCCTATTTTGTGGCTCAGTATCTGTCTGTACATGAGAGGATTAAGCTCGTAATCTAGACCCAAGCCCTTGAAAGTATCATTCAGGATAAGAATCCTGCCCATGAGCCCATGAGTCTTTTTTTCCCAGAAGGGAAGGGAGAGTCCCCAGAGATGAGACTCCAGAGACCTGACATACCTAATTGTGTACAACACCTTGCCATCCTTGTGGATGCGAACCATCTGGTTGGGCATGGTGATCTCATGCTCTTGGGTCCTCTTAGAATTCCTAAAAATGGTGTCTGGAATCCACAACTGGCTCACCACATTTCCATTCAGAACAAGAGTCTCAAAGGTGTCATTGTAACGGAGGCGCTCGTCATACCAGGTCTGATAGAAGATTATGTCAATTGTGTATTCCTGGTGGGAAGGATGGAAAAGTGTACATTTGGCGTTGAGCAAATAAAGGACATTCACATACAAACATCATTTGCCACTATCTAACCTTAAGACAACATGGTAGAATTCAGAGAGCACTGTACTTGGAGGCAGGAGGTGAGTGAGGTCCCTTTTCTCTCTATCCAGAAACTCTTCCAGTGACAGGGCTAGAAGGGATGCAGAGGTTACCAAGTCAAATGATCCCAGCCAAGAAGTCAGTTATGCCTTGACCAATTATCAGCAAAGGCAGCTAGGTCCCCACATCATGCAGCAATTAATGTCATTCTCACATAGCTCAGAACAATAGAAAGGTTTGCCTTAAGTGAACCTCTGTGCTACTTTATCTTATCATCTCCTTTCTGCTATCTGGAAGCATACAGAGCAAGTCTAACCCCTGTTACAGAGAGGAGTTTTCCAAAAATGATATTTCATTCTATCTAAGACACCCTTTCCCACATTACTGAATCCAAGATGCATTTTGCAGCTGGATAAAACTGAGATCTAGAGCACCTTGCTGGTCACATCTTAGTCAAACCTATAGGATGATGAAGTCAAGTCAAGGAAGTCTGTGGTCGACAGGTTTCTTGAAGATTAACATCAATGACATCGGTGACATTTGGTGATCATTAAAGATGCTGTTAGGTCTAATGTTCTAGACACTGAGAAACCTCATCATCACAAGTCAAAGGGCACATAAGGTTTGCATCACTCTAACTATCCAGTACCTTTCATGAGGGTACTTCAAAAGTTTGTGGTATCAAAAGGCAAGTTTATTTTGGTGCAAAACAATGTTGAAATCCATGTATATAAGAGATCTTCAAAAAGTTCATGGAAAATGCATATTCTAAAAATAACCACACATGAATTTAAAAAAAACTTTTTTGCAACAAAATAAGCTTGTAATTCTATTTTCCCATGAACTTTTTGAAGTGCCTTTGTGAGAGTAAGAGAATATTTCACTTAAGTAAACTGTAAGAGAACACTGGACTTGATCACTAATGATGACACATCTGTACAGTGTATACATACCTGGAAGCATAAATATGGAGTCATGTCAAAATAAAGCAATTAGAAAATGGCCTTAGACACTGACTGGCACTACTGAGAAGTGGATATACCCCAAAAATGATTTCAAAGTAATGTGCAAGGAAGGAGATCTGTTAAACTTGAGTGGCAATTTGTCTCACTCCAGTTTTCCTATAAAATAATTTCCATCTGTAATCAAATAAATAATTTTCATGTTACCCTAGCTGAAACCAGTGTCTTCACCTGCCATC